TTCGGCCTTCGTCAACTGGGCAGAATGAAAGGCGATGGGACGTTCCAAACCTTCAGCGTCTAGCTGGAACAACACTGCGCCTAACCCTAAATTGGAGGCGTCACACTGGACATAAAATCTTTTGTCGAAAACTGGATGATTCAATACGGGACTTGTGGTTAGAGCTACTTTTAATTTGTTAAAAGCCTCGATTGCATTTTGATCGAAAGAGAAAACTTTGCCCTTCTTCAAGGTGCTGGTTAAAGCAGCTGTAATCTCAGCATAATCTTTAATAAATCGCCTGAACCAAGAGGCCATCCCTAGAAACCTACGAACGTCTCTAGTGGACTTCGGAATCGGAATATCAGTAATTGAGTTAATTTTGGAAGGATCTGGTTTTAATTTACCTTCGCCAACAATATACCCCAAATATTTAAGTTCTCTGCGGCAAAATTTCGACTTCTTCAGATTGATGGTCAGGTTCGCTCTGGACAACATTTCACCTACCTTACGAAGCAGCTCGACATGTGAATCAAAGTCTGGAGAGACTACTAGCAAGTCGTCGAGGTATACGAAAACTTTGTTCTTCAGTTCCGGTGAGATCACTCTATCCATTAACCGACATAACCGTTGGGCTGCATTGCATAACCCAAACGGCATGACAGTGAATTGATAGTGTGGTCTCCCCGGCACTGTGAACGCAGTCTTCGGACGGCTTTCTATTGCCAGAGGAACCTGCCAGAATGCATCCTTCAGATCGATGCTCGATATGAAGTACGTGTCTTGCAGTCGGCCTAACAAAGCATCAATAAATGGCAGCGGATATGCATCTTTCACCGTGACTTCATTCAACTTACGGGCGTCTAAACATAGTCGATTTTTTTCGCCTCTACGCACTAAGGTGACTGGAGAATTCCATGGGCTTGTACTTGGTTCAATAACACCTAGACTCAACATGCGATCAAGTTCCTGATATATAAGATTTTCGACAGCTGGAGAAACTGGATAATGTCGCTGCTTTATTGGGACAGCATCCCCTGTATCAATCACGTGCTCTTCCAGATTTGTCTTTCCGAGACCATGCTTATCGGAATCAAGGAAACTTTCTTTAGCTTTCTCAAGTAAAGCTAATTCATCATCGGATAAGATATGCATATCAGAATCTACTTCTTTAGAACTGATCTCTAAGCTGCTAATAAGTTTTGGTGCTACACTGAATTCTTTCCAAAAATCTATACCACAATACATTGAATTCTCTAAGCCAGGCACAAGATAAACCTCCATGGTTTTCGTCTTACCATCGTACGAGAGCTCAACACTAACTTTTCCACAACAAGAAACTCGTTGACCATTCGCTGTACCAACGCTACACTTATATACAGGATTAATATTCAATTTTAATTCATCAATCAACGAAAAACAATTTTTGCCTAAGCAAGTTACCGTGGCTCCACTGTCAAAAAGAGCTAACACTGCTATGCCATTAACAAGAACTTCTCGAAAAGGTCGGGGATCATTTGATTTATTTTCGGAAAATGTGGCAGAAGAAATCGATAGTCTTTTGAAACGTCTAAGCCTATATCGTTCACGTGCCTTCAAGATACGTTTGGAAACACAAACACCAGTATTTACAGAAATTTCGCAATTAAATATTCGTTCTCGGGTCTTTAAATATTTTGCCATGCGTACGTGAAATGGTAACGTCAAATCAGGTTTGGATCTAATCAGAGGTTCAGATTGTTTTGGAGTTACTAAATTGTCAACAATAGGTGGATTTTCGGGAATATGGTCTGAATCTAGTCAGTCCACGGTCTGTGTAGAAACTGATACAGATTTAAAAGGATTGGATGGACGAGTACTCTTCTTGCAATTATTGCACTGAGGAGCTGTTATTCCTGGTGAACCGCATTTAAAACAAAACAAAGATCGTTGTGAACTGGTACATTGTTTGAAAACATGACCGTTGTCACCACAGTTCCAACAACGAGAAGTTTCAGTTTTGGGGAAACTAGTTACCTTCGGTCGCAGCTTCAACTCATCAACTTCCTTAGTGATTTCTTTATAATCGGAATCGAAAATTTCATTAACCATGCGAGATGGTGCGTTCGTCCTAACCCTAGCAACTGACTCCCTGTCTAGAAACTCTTCAGCCTTCCTACATTCATTGCGGAGCTGTTCCACAGAATAAATATCAGCACTAAACAACAGATGAGCAATTCTGGGTTTTAATCCTGCCTTGATAATATCGATAACCTCATAGTCTTGGAGTGATTGCCTTAATTGGGGGCGCAAAATAGTGATGGCGTCTATATACTGAGTCACAGTTTCATCGCGACCTTGTTTCCTATCCATCATCTGCCTCAACACATCCAAGTTTGATTGGTATCGCTGAAATTCACGGGTCATATTCAATTTTAAATTTTTCCAGTTCATGTCTGGATATTGCCGAGTTTGAGCCCAGTACCACTGGTTAGCACGGCCTTCTAACAACAAATGAAAACCTTCTAATAATTCTCGCTCTGAAAATCCATAACTCTTCCGCAGTCTCTCAACTCTGAATAAAAAATCCTCAATCTGTGGAGTTTTTGTAGTACCGTCAAATTTTACGCCCCATTTGCTGATGTATGGGTATTTGGGTCTACTAAAACAATTCCTATTATCAACATTAATAAAATCATCATTTGGAATATTCGAAACGGTTGGTGCATTAGTATGAACAGGTGCAGTAGGCCTTGATGGTAATTCATGCGGCCAATCAACGCTCTGGGCTGCAGGATTGGATGAAGGACCTGCATGTGGACTCGATGTTTGCGAAAGGGCGGTCTTAACAGCTATGGATACAGCTTTCTGCATCTCCTTCCTCATCAGTTCAAGCATCGATGCTTGTGTCGCTTCCAGTGCCGACTCAACTACCTCAACAATTCCTGTACTATTCATTCTCTCAACCTGCTCACCACTGTTACCAAGCATAGTCAGGGGACTAAACGATGGCGTAGTGATCGTACTACCATCTTCAGTTACCTTATTTGGATTTGGCGAATCTTCAACATCACTAGATACTGTTCGATTATTTGCTTCTACACTGGCAGTATTACCAGAGGGTACATCATCTTGCGTTTGGATTACCTGACCTGTTCGGCTATTCGACCTGGTACTAATACCATAAGTTTTTGGCTTTGCTCCAGTGCCTTGGTGCATGATGTCCAATCAAAAACAAAACGAATAAAAATTTTGAAAATCTAAACTATGTAATAAATTACTTGATCCGAAAAATAGAATTTTAATAAAACTCAAAAAAAAATGGAAAAAAAATTTTGCAACAGTGTCTATATTCAATCCAAGAACCAATAGATGTGTTACTGTTAATCCGTAACAAAAGCTTATAATAAAAAAAAACAAAATTATAGTCAAAACTGATTACCGATTCACAAAAATCGAAAGATCTCAAATAAATTCAAAATCACAAAAAAAATCAAAACTTGAAAATCAAATATGATCAAAATGTTTCATAAACATTTGGTTTCTTTTCTTCTTCAGAAAATCAGATCATACAAATTCAAAAGGATATTATAAACAGTTTTGGTATCAGCCATATAAATCAACAACAACAATAAAATGAGTATATAACTATGATTAGTTATTTGCAACGCAATAATTTTCTTTTCAGAAAAAGGGAAAAAAAATAAGTGAATATCTTCAATATGTCATAAAATCACAAGCCAAATAAAATATCGCAAATTGTCTTTGACCATAAATGTCAATGACTAATGACCATATATCTTCTATGACTTGTATTTAAATATACGATTTTGATATAATATTTTATCGCAAATTGGATATTATCATAAATACAATACTCCAATGACATATAAAATACCTTTCTATAAGGTGAAATTCTAGAAAATCATTATAATTAATTATGTTGAATCACTATTGACTGTCGTCATCTAACAACAACTCAAGACAGATTCAAAGAAATCAATACAAATCAAAAAAAAAAAAAAAAACAAAATATGATACACCAGGATTAAACCTGGCCCCACGTTGGGCGCCATTTTGTAACGTTCAGGGGCGTGTGTGAAACCGTAGATTGGTTTGACCATGGTGACAGGAGGCCTACTCTATCATTTTGTATCGGCTATGCTCAGTCGTCCACACACGGCTACGTACAAAAATATTTATGTATGTCACAAAGAAAATATCATCGATTATGTTTGTTGTTGTTGCAGACTCAAAATGTTGTTGTGGTGGGTACCCCTAGATGACAATGGGTACCCCTTATCCCTCCCATGGGTTCTGTAAGAACCCCCATATGGGCTTCAAAATATTTGAAGACCCCCAAAACTTTCGCTGGCTGTACCTCTTTCCTGCTTACCTATCCTTCTTAAATAAATTTACTGGAACATTATTAATTTTCTTTAAATTCAGTCAAACAATTCATATTTATTCTTAAGAACAATTTATACTTAAGGATAATCTTTAGATTTACTTAAATCTATTTACATCCGTAAGTAGAATCAAATACACTAACAAAGAAATAGCGAAAATAAAGCACAATTTAATATTAGGATACATACAAAAATTATTAAGAGAATTTTTGTTTGTTAATCCCATTTCTTGTGCCAAAATGCACTAAATTTATACGCCGAATGATACCTAACACCTATTGAGCTCAATGGTTAAGGCTTAGCCCTTTTTAAATAATTTGGACTGTACCGCTTTTAAATAAAGGAAGTGGGATCAACAATTGACAAATTGAATAGAACAATTATAAAAAAAATATATAGATCTGTATGAATATATATAGGTATATATATTTATATATACATATATATACAAAATTTTAGGTATAAGGATTTATAAATTTAAATTGGCTTTACAAATTACCCTTAAAGGTAAAAGAAAAAGAGATAAAAAAACTTAAACTATGATTTTTAAGAGTACGCCGTCTGCACTAACTACATCAGCTTATAAAGTTCCAAAATTGTTATGAATAAATTCATATTTGAATTTCAATTTAATTTAAAAAAAATATAGCCAAAAAGAAAGAAATCTTAACAAATTAGAAAATTCTAGGGCTGCTAATTTAATTCCAATAAGAATGTAGTGGAATAATTTCTCAATTGGAACACATGGTTCCGTTACCAAAAACAATTTCACAAGGGCACTAAACACGTGGCGAAGAACCGTTACTTTTTGTAGTAGCCAAAATTTAACATTAAAATTTATATAAGTCAACATGTATATACGTACATATGTACAAACTTATATACATATGAGGAAGGTTTTTTTAAAAATCGTTAAAACACAAAACTAGGAACACTGGATGTATCCGGAAAGTTTCTAAAACAGCTCGGCTGACCGTCGAGGAACAGGTTGCAAAAAAAACACGGGGCCCACCCCTCCCGTCTGTGACTGAAGGAGGTGGGTAACCCAGGGATGATGATTGACTGCTTCAACTGTACCCGTGTGATTGCGTACTTACTCCGTTATTCTCCTTTAGACATATAGGATTTTCGGCTTACCACAATTTGGGAATATGTTGATATGGTCAGATTTTGGTCTCCTTAACAGTACCGATGGGATGTGTCCTTATATTAGGTAGCACTGCCCTTTAAAGATAGGGTACAAATTGACACGCAAAAATGTCCAATAACCTAACCTTTGGTCTTAGGCGGCGTGGTTGGCGGTCTTTCTTGGAACAGTGTCCAAGCAAAAATTCAGATTCTGCCAAAAAATTGAAAGAAACACGAAAAATGTTGGCGTTAAATTCCCGCTCATGCTAAGGAATCTCCTTAAAATCTCACCTTTATTATTAATCAAAACGAATTTATTCGGCACACAAACACTACTTTATCCACAATGATGGGTAACTTCAAATTATAATTGGAGAGGAGAATACCGGCTCTGACTGGTGTTAAATTGAAATTAAACTTTTCTTTTCCTCTGATGGCTTTTAGTTGTGCTGCTTCAAAAAACTTTTCTGCAATAATGCAATTTTTAGAGTTGGCTGCAGTGCGCCATCGAATTGATAGGTTGCCATAGATCGACTAAAGTTGACACCTGATGTCAGGGCTACCAACGACTGCGCACAATGAGGACGTTTTTACGCCGTCGCTTGCGTCGTCGGGTTGTGGTAGGTTAACACAACACAGTGAATAATTATGCTTTGACTAATATGCATAATAGACAAAAACTAACGGCCGGCAACGCGGACCGGTCCAGCTAGTAAATAAATAAACACAAATACGACTTTAGGGGTATTACAAAGAATTGCAAAATAATGTAAACGCTATTAACTCAGGTTATAGGACAAGCCATGTAAAAGAATACTCCCATCGACTATTAATTTTTAAATAAATATAATAAATATTTCTATAAATCAATTCAGTTCATCTTAATGCTTTATTTGTAGCATAGACAAATGGTAGTGTTATAATCACCATAGATCTCAAGATCTTAACATTATAAACAAAAATATATTATATTAACGTTTTAATTTTAAATTAATCTAAACTACACATAAATACAAAATTTATTTTCTACGTTTTCTACGTAAATTCCTATTCGACGTTGGGTCGTCATCGTCATCACTATCGTTCTGATTAACGTTTGACTTATTTTGATATTGCTGATCTTTATACCTCAGAGATTGTTGTTGGGCATCCCATTCTTTACGCAGTTCGCTCAACATACCAGGTGTCAATAGACCTTGAGCAATAAGGCGATCAGTAAGGCGGCCACGGGATGTGTTTGGTATGCGGGGTTCTAGAATTAAAACAAAGGATAATAGAAAAAAATGTTTGCAAAACCGTCCACGAATTACCTTTTGTTTGTACAATACGTTTCATATTGTAGGTAGTATCACCATCTGCAGCACTCTGGCTGGCTTCAGTATTTTTTAATAGTCTTGTTATTTGAAATACACCCTGTTGTATGATTTCATCGAGTTCTGCTTGTGCAACTCTTACTGCGGGTGCCTCAGGAAAGAGGTCTGTAAAGCGGTAACTCAGCCACAGATATAAATCCATAACATCAAATACAGCTTCCAGATGCACCAAATCAACTATTGTTTTTGGTAAAGACAGAGGCCAACCAACATTTTTCTTTATAAACTCAAATGTGATTGGTTCCCCTCGACTATATTGTCTGGCAATCTAAAACAAGTGTAGATTTTTTCATACAGAACAATATTAAAATTGATTGAAAAACTAACCTTTAAAAACATTGAACACACAAATGGCATTTTTCTATTAATGGGCGCACAACAGAAGACATAACGAGCCCTCAATGGCAATGGAACATGTTGAATCATTTCTGCTAAAAATTTAAAATCTTCTATATTGCACATAAAATATAAGGAGTCATCAACGGTGCAAAGGTTAACGAAAATATCCTGTATAGAGTATAAGAGTTTACACATTTTGCACGATTCAATTAGATAAATGTTATTACCATTAAATTACTAAGACTGGAATTTGGTAAATGATAGGCATATAATTCGATTTGGTCAGCCGTTGGATGTAGGCCTGCTTGCTTTAAAGGCTCTGGTGTCTGCGCAAGTAGTTTCCTCAGTGTTGGCAAATCATCTGCTTTAAACGTAGTAACATATCCATGCTCCCATTGAGTACGAAAACGACCAGCTCTTCCAGCAATTTGCAAGGCTGATGATACAGATATTGTATCAATTTCACGTTCACCCTTTTCATTCATTGACGGTTTGACTAGTGAGTAGAAGATTATGCGCCGTATGCTCCTAAAATGTAAAAAGTAGTTTGTTGTGAACATAGTTGTTGTGGTGCTTTCATGTGCAATATCATCTTTCGATGTTTTTTTAAAAATCTCCAACAAACTTCATAAATGAAGTACATTATTTAGAAAAAAAAAAAAACATTGAACAAATTATTAACAAATTCTACAATAGATGAAATCAGATATTACTTATCGATACAAAACTTACAAATTTAAACCCATGCCAATGGCATCGGTTGCCACCATAACTTTACAGCTGTTTTCTGGGTCATTAAATTTTGCAGCTTGAGCTAATTTTGTACCGGGCGGTAAGCCACCATAAATCACAGCCACTTCTTTCCCTCTAAAATAAAAAAATATATATTTAATCAATCTCACTTTTAACGTAATATTATTTATCTTCTAACCTCGCCTCAATTTCTCTTGAAACATTGTAAATATCGTTTTTACTAAAACAAACTATACAATCTCCAGGTTGTATATTATCCAAAGTGACTAAAGCCGAATCTTCTATGGTCAATTCAGTTAGACGGGTGTAGTTGTGAACTTCTACTGTTTCATTTGTCGTTTCACATATTTTCTGCAATAATTCAAGGGAACCAGCTTCACCGCAGACATGAACTTCTTCTGCAATAAGACCAAGAAAAGCTCTAGTCCAAGCCCAGCCTCGTTGGGGATCTTTTAGCTGTTGGATTTCATCAATGACGGCAACCTCGTCTGAATAACATAAAAAATAATGCATTAACTATAATAAATTTATAAAGCCATCTCCTCAAAAATAAAATATTTTTAATTATGATGGTTTCGTATCCACTTACAAGGAGTGTTAACTGAAGTCATTTCCACGGTGCAAGCTACATGTGCAGCTGGAGAATCCTCGTTAATTCCAAATTTTCTTTCTTCACCAGTAACCAAATCACAAGGAGTACCCTAAAAACAGTTTTATAAAAGCCAGCTGTTAAGTGTTATAAGGACGAATCAAAGTATTTCTAAGGAAAATGCTTCTGTACAGAAAAAAATAAGACAAATGTCTAATACTGTATTATTACTTGTGTTTTTTAATTGAAACAGTGAATATATAGAACCGTTTTTTTTGAGATTGATTAAGTAAGTTTTTGTTTATAATGCTTGTCTCGAGAATATAAGAATATACAGAAAAAAATTATCAAAAAAATTACTAATTCCATTAACCCAACAAAAGCCGATTAATATGCGTGATATATAGGTATGCATTGTTTACCTTTTCGTTTGCCTTGTTGAATACTTCCGTCGCCAACAACTTGAGTGGACCACAATATACACCCGATTTGGCAGTTAAAAATCGTTCCATAGCATGATAAGTCTTTCCCGAATTAGTGGGACCCGCATGAAACACTATTTTTCGTGTTATTGCTCTAGCACTGGGGTACCAATTAGCTGGGGTTCTTAAGTCTGATATTTTCTTAAGATCATCCATACAATCTAAGTGGGGGAATATTGTTTTGGCATGGCGTATAAAATATGGGAATATATCATCCACATGGCCGGCACCATTGAGAATATCACTTAGGGTTATATGTAAATCGACAGGCAGATTTTCCGATTCTATACAGTAACGCCGAAAGGAGGCAAATGCCTGTTGTTGTAAGTAATCTAAAAGAAAAGCAAACAATTATATAGTATTGCACAATATCATATGGAATAACATGCCCTTTACTTACTATCCAAACCATTGTCTACACATAATGCCTTTATTTCTCGTCTCTGTGTAAATTTGTTTAAAATTTTCAACACGGCCGATTTCTCCAATTTACCCGCCAACTCTGAACCAACATCAATTTCATCCACATTGTGTTGTATAGGAACTGGTTTAAAAAGTGCCGAAACATTTGCCGGTTGTTGTTTTTTATTACGTGCCCGTTGTACACCTCCCACACTAAAACCTCTTGACGGAATTGCCAAGACTCCACTTCCTAACAAATCATAGCGTTTCGGTGCCGATTTCAACGATAGATTTTGTGTGGCAGTGCATAGTAATTGGAAGGTTTTTCGAGAATTTTGCATTGCAAACTAATAAACAGCACTCCGAAGAATCTTTCACTAACTATTTCATTCAAAAATTTAATATATTTACAGAGGGATTTAATTAATATTAAGCACCACACAGTAAATACGATTATGTGATGCAATGAAATTGTTTAAATGTCAAAAAGGTAACATAACCTCAACATTGATAACAGCAGAAAACATATGATGGCTTCAATTGACTCTAATTATTCGAAACGTATCGCAACAAAAAAGGTAATTTGTTTGCCATTTTTTTTTTTTTTTTTTTGATATCATGATGGAAATATTCTGTTATCTCAGCAACATTTTTATATTATTTGAGTTCTGGATTTTTTCTCCAATAACAATCAAATATTTTTTATGAAATTAACAATAATGGGACTAAACCTGACTATTTTAAAACAAGCATTTTCATTTTGGAAATCACAAGCCTAACTTTTTTCACGGAACACAATGTTGCAAATTGAAAATTCTTACTATTTTGGCTTTCTCAAGACAGCAACTAGTTCAGGTACGGTTTATCAAGTTTTGCCACCAAATTTAGGAATTACGATTTTCAAATGAACTGTAAAACCATGGTAGAATCAAAAGGTAAAGAAGAGCTACCATGGCAAAGCATTGATATGTCAAAAAAAAAAAAAAATTAAAGTGTTTTTCAAATATAAGTAGCATTTTATATGTGTTCTTATACTACGTCATTCGGAGGCTATTATAATTCGCGTTTTTCAACAATTTTTACAAATTTATATAATTTTTCATTCAACATTTTCAATTCCAAAATTGTTTTGACAATGCATTGTCCCAGCAGCTGTGTCGATGCATCTACCTATATTCTTTTACCATGATTACACCTTATTGAATACACCTTGATTTATATCATAACAACCTCCAATTGGCGTCGTATGGAAGACCCATACAAATCTACTTATTTGTCGCAAGTAAACTTGCCTAATGTAAATGAGATTACTATTTACTATTAGGCGTATGTCGACCTAATTGTCCCTAAGATAGAATGTCAAAACCATAGTACAATAATACTGATAGCTGCATCAACACTGTTGGTGGTTTAACAAAATTATAAAAAGTAATTGAATAATAAATGATTCAACTTTTTTTAAATTGTTGAAAAGCACATGTCATAACTATCTTTGCATGACATCGTATTAGAAAACATTACAATATCAACTTATTTTGGCGCAACTCATTTATCTTTTTTGACATATCAATGTTAACAAGTGCTGATGCATCTACCTGTATACTTCTACCATGGTCAAAACAAAACGTAAAAGAAAAAATAAATACAACTTCGGAAGTACATGAGTCACTTGGATAGATAAATAAATTGAATTGTTGCGAATTTACAAAAATTGAATTGTTTAATTAATATAAAATGGGTTTGTTTGGCCAAACAAAAAGCAAAGATCCCAAAGAACAGGTATGTTAGTCGGATTGTGAGGAAGAAACCCTCCCCATGCAGAACATAATGCATTTGTGGTGGCTGATGACGACATCATTGCTATTGAATTTGAGGCACAAACAAAATAACAATAATTTGTTTTTGATTAGGTTCAAGAATGGACCCACAAAATACGCAAAGAAAGCAATCAATTGGACCGGCAAATACGCGGTATTCAACGCGAAGAGGAGAAAGTAAAGAGGTCGTTGAAGCAAGCCGCTGCCAAGGGTGATAGGGATACTTGTGTCATACTGGCTAAAGAAATCGTTGGAGCACGTAAAGCCATCAATAGAATATATACAACAAAGGCCCATCTGAATTCAGTGCAGTTGCAAATGAAAAATCAGTTGGGTGAGTATTCGAGTATTTTCAGTAAGAATGACACTAATTCTAAATATTTGTATTTGTAGCTACTTTACGTGTCGCTGGTTCCCTTTCAAAATCCACAGAAGTCATGCAAGCTATGCAAAACTTAGTGCGCTACCCTGAATTGGCTGGTATTATGCGCGACATGTCAAAAGAAATGATGAAGGCTGGTATTATAGAAGAAATGTTAGACGAAACTATGGAGAGCTTGGAAGATACTGAGGAAATGGAGGAGGAGGCTGCCAAGGAGGTCGATAAAGTTCTTTGGGAAATTACTGATGGCAAGTTAGGAGAGGCTCCTCTACCTCCCCAAGAATTGGCTGCCGCTGAAAAAACAAAAACACCCGCCGTTGCTGTTGCAGCTGATGATGTCGAGGATGACGACGACGAGGAAGATTTGCAGGAAATGCAATCTCGTCTCGCTTCTTTGCGGTCGTAAAATTGAGGCTAAGTTAAATCGAATACTAAGCTAAGGTCTACGCACTTTGCCTTTCAAGTAGCTTTGAAGATTGTCGATATTAAAGCATATTTTATATTTTGTTTTAACAAAAATTCGGATCTCTAAGTTAACGCTGTCCTAATCCGAAGCAACTGTTTTTTTCTTGGTTTTTATTTAGTTCATATGCATATATTTTGTAGTGTGCAAATATTTTGTTTTATTGCTTATGTTATTTAACTTAATATATTTCTGAACCAAATTTAACTGGCTTAATTTCCATCGTATTTATATATTAAGTATTTAATATTTTGTAAAATAAACCATTAAATTAATAAAACAAGTATTTATTAAAAAACTATTTTGTGTTTAAAACGTCCATTCGATTTTACTTAATACAACTCGCGTGGAATAACAAAAATCAACGCTAATTTGAACTACTTTGAAACGTTGTTATTTAATTTGTTTATTAATGACATGGTGCACTCAGTTGTTGATGATAGGTGTTTCCTGTTTTTCTATTCAAATGATATCCATGTTTTCTTAAGATTGCGATTGTGGAACTAGTTAATGAGATGAAATGTCTTGGTGTTGTAGTTGATCGGAAGGTGGACTTTTGAGACACATTGATACCCTGCTTTGTCGTATAAGCTTTCAACTACTAAGACTGCGTTGTATTGATGCGTATTTGACTTTTCATGTTAGGACGAAAGTGTCCTTGCTGCTGTCGCAGGTTAATAATTCTTTGCAGTCATCTCTGGCACATCTTCTGGTCAAATGCAGCGTATCTGTAGGGCAGTAAATTCAATTGATCGCTATGTGTATGATTTCTTGTTTTGTTAATGATCTCCTGGGATTGTCATTTAGCAACTATGTTGATCTTCGTATTCTTAAATGTCAGTATAGTGTTATGTGCAACATTGACTCGCTCTTTCGTGACATGTTTGTGTTTTGTAGATCATCTCGTAATCTCCAACTGAACTGTTTAAAATTTTCAACGACCATTGTTGAGAGGTCTTTTGTTTTTAGAGCTGTGAGATTGTGGATTTAGTTTCCTTTTGCTTTACGAAGTTTTGCCTATACCAATTATCTGTTTAGTATTGAAGTATTTGAATATCTTCGCCTAAATAAATAGCCAATGTTTTTGTAGACGTTGCGCTTGTTTATTATGGGTTTTCCTTTTTTGTTGGGTTGGGGAGGCTTTATATTATCTACTTAATTCAAATTATAGGGTGTTATGATGTAAGTTACTATTTATACTCTTTTTGGTGAGTAATAAGATATTTATTCTATGGAGGGTATATTAACTTTGTCATTTCGTTTGTAACTTCTCGAAATACTCATGTTAGACCCTACAAAGTATATATGTTCCGGATCAGAGTAAAATTCAAAGTCGATGTAGCGATGTCCGTCTTTCTGTCTGTCTGTTGTCACGCTACCTTTCGGAGGAATTGAGATAGAAGGCTAAATATTTGCACACGTTTGTAGGCAGGTTATGTTCGTAAATGGGCTATGTCGGTCCCCGTTTTCGTTATTATTATTTAACGACCCGCTTCAAAATTTTGCACAACAATTTGTATTGTGTCCAGCATGGTTGATATTGAAAATGAGATACATCTGTCCACGTTTTGGTACAGTCGCCATATAACGGTACCTCCAGATATTTGATATTTTGAAAATCCTAGTCAAATTTACAAACATTTTTTTTCAAATTTGGCGTTTAAGACTCGCAATAGATAACAATCGTTGTAAAGACCTCACTCACTTTATGTCTTTTTGATACGTTTAACTGCATTATCCAAACGGTCTTATTGGTATATGTAGTTTACTGGTATATTTAGTTTAAAGTGGAACACGCTTGAATTCGGATACTTTTATATAAAAATGTGTTCTTTACCCAATAGTGGAGGATATTAAAAGTTCGGTCAGGCCGAACTTAATGTTCTTTTGCTTGCTAACATTTGAAATGGTATTTATATCAAACACCACATAGTGGTAAGGGTTTTATGTCTTTGTGCATTTGTTTGTAAAATGGAGAAGGAAACGAGATAGACCCATAGTTCTTATTGATCTGCATAGAATCACATTCTGAGTCGATTTATGCATGTCCGTCTGTCCATGTATTCTTGTGAACAAAATGCAGGTCGCATTTATTATCCGATTGAGATGAAATTTTGCACAAATCATTTGTTTGGCCCAAGGACGAACCCTATTGGAGATAATCGGTAAAAATTTAGATATAGCTCCCATATACATCTTTGTCCGATTTGCCTTTTATTGTGCACCAAACGTGTAATATAAGCCCGAATAGTATGGAATTAGAATAAGTATGCCAAATTTGATCGAAAACGGTTCAGATATAGTTATAGCTGCTATATATTTTGTCCACCGATTTCTTATTTTAGTCCGCCGCAGCCGTAATATGCTCTCCGTAACAACAATATTTGGGAAAATATATCAAATACAGCTCAGAAATACCTTTGCTAATTTTTATCGAGATCGGTTCGGATTGGGATATATCTCCCATACATAACTTCGTCCGATTTACCTTTTATTGTGCACCAAACGTCAAATATTTGCCCAAATGGGATGAAATTCGACACTTACGACAGAATTGAGTCTAAAAGCTAGTTAAATTTGGTGAAGATCGGTACAGATATAGCTATAGCTCCCATATATATTGTTCTTTCGATTTGTTATATTTGTTACCCACAGCCGTAATATGCACTCCGTAACAACGATATGCAGGGAAATATATGAAATACAGCTCAGAAATATCTTTGCCAAATTTTATCGAGATCGGTTCAGATTTGGATATAGCTCCCATATATATCAAATGGGCAATACAAGTCTGAATTTAAATAGATACAAATGCTTCGGCATATTTAGTTTTTTGAACGTTAAATTATAATTATAATCATAGCGTGTATGATTGAATTCTCCCATAAAAACCTTTAATTGTTATGTGGAGCTCTACTAAATTAGCAAAGTGGTGTAGGGTATCTTTACTGGTTTTCGTTTGTATTCACTTTCGAATCGTCATAAAAAACAGGCCCTTAATACTTTCAGGTTTTTAAATATTACGGGATTATATCCGAATTGAGATTTTTGCTTTAAATGATCCAGTTCGTTGGAATATTGGTCAAAAATAAAATTTCAATAACAAAATACAGACAATTTTTCATGGCGTGATTGGTTATAAAAGGATTTACATCAAGCAGAATCGGGTACAAAATTTTCAATAAAAGAAACAAGACATTTGTAGAAACTTTCTTACAGAATGCTGCAAGAAGTTTTCTAACTTTCTAAGAAAAATCTAATTTTGCAAAAGAGTTTTTATCTTCTGTTAAGTTACAATTTGAAAAAAAACTTTGGCATTTGTAGGGATAAACAATATTGCAAAGCTGTCAGTTTCGTTTTGAAAAATATTCTGCAATAGAGAGTTATATAAAGTTAAGACAGACTCAAACTCAATAAATTTTTCTTTCTGTTTTCAATAATGAACATTTCATATTTAGCTAGTTTATTATTGAAGTTTTGCATTTTTAGTGTGTTTAAATCTTATTTTTTAATCGAGAACATTTAGTTTTCTTTAATTGGCCGTAACATATTTTTCATTGAGTTTTTTGAATTTTTAGTGTGATCGTCGTTTTTTAGTGTGAACATTTAATTTGCTTATTTTCCGGTAACTCCTCTATTATTGAGTTTCTCGCATTTTAAGGCTGTTTAAAATTAGCATTTTATTTTCTTATTTTGCCCATAAGTGTTTTAAATCGTGTTTTTTAGTAAATAACAGTCTAAAGATCATTTTATAACTTAAACAAGTAAACAAAGGCTATAGTCGTGCGGGCCCGACTATGTTTTACCCTACAACACTACAATATGTTAGATGCCCCCTTATGTCCAAATCCATATTGGAAGATTTCGCTTTTGAAATTAGGATTTAGACTAGGGATATTTGCCAAACATTTATGCACTCCGTCGGGCTGTTAGTTGCTGTAGTCCATTTTACAGCTAAATATAATCCAATGGTCATCCAAAATGCTAGAATTCTTCCATGTCCTTAACTTCCTTCACAGGCGTGTCGATTGGCTGCAATTGTGTGATCGGAAAAACATTTCTGTTTTTGGTTAATTTGAACCCCTAAATATTTTGCAATCATCTCCAAAAGCAAGAAGCCCCTCTGTATCTCCAAATTTTAACTCATCTATATGTTCGCCTTCAGAAGTTCGCCTTTTGTGTATTTCTGATGTCGCCTGTTAGTAATACTGGTATTTTTTCACACAAAATTATTCCATTCTTCCCGCTGTTCTAAACTCTAACTTTACGCGAGATTTCGTGTCCTTTGGATTCTATTTGTGACTTTTATAACGGCTTCAAAATCGGGAACATTTTTAGTTGTTGGTCCATTTCAACCCTTAATATATTGCGGGCATCCTTGAAATCAATAGGCCTAGCCCTTCTGAGCCCAACCCTACCCTTGTGAAAATTTTCGTGAGGATCGGGCGATATTTGCAATACTTATATAATATCCTCAACCTGTGTTGTAAGGTGAAAAAATATTACAAAATATTATAAGTCAAATTGAAAAAATCGCATGCGATAAAAAATATGAAAAAATAAAAATATGTTACAAAATACTACAAAATCCATATTAACATCATTATTGTCATATTTTTCTGCGATTTTTCTAGATTTGATACTTTTATGTCAAGAGAGGATTCTGAATTGACAATATTTGTCGAAATCGGTCCAGCCATTCTTGAGATATTAGCATTCTAACTAACATCTCCTTCCTTTGTATATACACATTGTATATATTTCCCTATATATATCCGATATATTTACTATCGGCATCTACGTAACGGTCAGAATTGACCTGTTCGTCTATTTGTGATTTCGCCGGGATTAAAAATATTCGCTGTTTAGTGGAAAATTTGTCTTTTATTTAACACAAATGTTGTGGCCTATTTCACTCACTAAATATTACCCGATGACCATCAAAATTGGATCGCTTCAGCCCTAAGCTCTAGCCCCATGCTAACTTCCACTTTGATTGGTCTATATTTGCGACCTGTAGAGGAACTGCAAAATCTTAAATTTTTTTAGTTTTTGGTCCATTTCAACCCCTAAATATTATGCGATCATCTCCAAAAGCAATATTACTCCCAATACATAGTGTTATATTTCGAGTCCTGTACATGAAATTGGCTAAATATCAATAAAAAGAAAACTCAGAGTATAACATAATATTTATTATACTCATTTGGTATAGGGAATTATGTCTTTGTAGAATTTTTATGCTCTCCACCTTTGAAAGGAGGGTATATTAACTTTGTCATTCCCTTTGTAATATCCCTC